TCATTTAATATTACACAACATACTCGCATACATATTTTTTTGGGTATCTTAAACCGTTTTTGCAGCGTACGCCTCGAAAACCGATAATGATTAATAATTTTCTCAATTTTTTAAACATTTCCCGCTGTATCTTCGCTTGTATTAGTCACAGGGCAGTCCTTTATAGTCTATAGCCTACCTGGATAAATCATGCCAACACAAAAAATAATTTTTGAATTCAAACCCGTAGTTCCTGAGATTAGCGCGTTCAAACAAACTCTTCAGATTAGTAGATTTCTTATCTATTAATATCATATTTTACTATATTTACTAACTTATCAATAAAGAATAATATAAGAAGTGCTATAATAGAACTTTTATTGCAAAAACTCTTTCGTGATTCTTACGATTAAAACTTGATGGTTTAAATAATTTATCCTTATGTGATTTTAAGGCAACACTTTAAGAGTTTTAAATTTATAATATATTTTAAATAAGACCCGATCTTTCTGTTTATTCTTATTATTAGGAAGCCAGACTTTTAAATATAGTATATTTAGTTTCGGTCTTCTTTAGTTACCCACTTATATGAAATACTTGGGTAATGTCAAAATGTTGCTCCCACTTTTTTTTGAGAACGAGTATGCTCAGTTTCCAAAATATTAAAAAGATTTATTTTAACTATAAAGGATTTCATGCTAATGATAGCATCTGAAGACCTGGAACGAGTAACATACTCTATTAATTTATGAATTTGTTGAAAGTAGTAAAAAGGTAAGTTTCTCTAGGGTGTCATGCATAAGTAAGTACCCATAAGAGAAGTAGAAGCATCAGCTAGAAGAAATATTTAGTCAATAATTATATAATGACCAAAATACGATGTTACATTCAAGGCTTCGTTATTAAATATTCAACTTAAAAAAAGTGGTAAAAGACTTAGGAAGATATTAGTTTTATTCAATTTGTGACTGTTAGTGGTACAGTCGACAATCGAAGATATACTTATGTCACCAACCGTAGAATTGCCCCTTTTAAATGTAGGTTATTTATGTGGGAAACGATTAGAAATCGAAAATTTGTATTTGGGCATCGTTCCGCGCATGTTCCACGCTTTATTTACATTCCAAGCGCATGCACGAGCGGTGTTTGTTAAAACTGTAACAGCCTTATGTCACTTGAACCACGCAATTTGACGTAATTAGTAATTACATGAACGAAACACGAACCGAACTAGCGAGTACAACGTTATTTATTCATTGTAATCGATGAGCCGGTCACGGCGTTGTGTAATATGTGATAAATTGATTTTTTTTTTCTTAGAAGAGTGTAAACTACTCGACATAACTAAGTTAACTAGTTAAAGATTTATGAGAGTTTATTCATAGGGGCAGTCTCATAACTTATTGAAAAAAAAACTCATAAAGAAAAATTTTTTCGATCTTTGATGTATACCAATTCCAAGACATACCCTGTCAGGGAATTTTATCGCGTATTTTTTCGACAAATATACTGTACTAGTAGACCTAGAAATAGTAGTGTATTGTGTGTATACTAGTAGACACAAAATACACGCTTGCAAAATGAATATTAGTAATAAATATTTTATTTATAAGACATTTATGTACAAGTGTACAAGTAATGTAGATGCATAGAATTTAGCAAGACGCAAAAGCGTCGTTGAACAAACATATAGTAATAATAATAAACACGGACCTAACTCAAGTTTGTAGCCTAACATATTTTCACCCAAGAAAGGACACAAGAATTAATTAACATTTCGTAAACTAATTCACTTTCAAATTCGTATATTTTTGGCGAGGCTAACAGAACAATAAACATAGAATGATAAACCTGATATCTCTTAGGAGTGCAGTTAAACATTTTTGAGCTTTCTACATAGTTCTAAACTTATTGCCATTGAGTAAAGTATATGTACGTAGCTACGTGGAATATTTACATGGAACTCAGCAGTAAGTCCTATTTTGCAAGCCGTTCGTACGAGCATGTATTTCGAATATTTGCTTTAGACGTCATTCATTTACATACATGGAAATACATACCGAATATTAAATGCAGCGTCGCGCATTTCATTATTAACTACGTAAAGTACATGGATTTGATTTATGGAATGTATAATAAAAAAATGCATTAATATATCGATAAAATGGTTAATTTATGTCTGCTGTGCCTTGAGTGCTCGTCTTCAAGGACTAAGTGAGATCTATGTATTTGTCAATCGCGGTAGAGTTCTTTCGAAACGTGTTATTGGATATTCCGAGAGTCCGACGAGAAGCTTTATTCTGTATAATAAAAATAGTAGAAGTGGTATAGTTTGGGCAAATATCGGTCGAGTTGTTGACAGAGATTTGAAGATGTCATGGCGTATTGATTATCGAGGATGCGTAAATGGTTTTTTTAAGTGTCTTAGTTTAGAGGCACTTCCTACAATACCAATGTCAAAATTTAATACTTAGTGGAGGCTGATGCATTTTTTTCTGCACTGTATAATAAAGCTTCTTATTATTTATATCGCCCATTAGCATTGAAATAAGTAAAATACAATTTGACCTTTTTGGGATATAAGGCATATTTCTGGGTCTGTACAATGACATCCGTCATCAATTAAACATTGTACCTTGCTCTTTATCATTATTTATAAACTTATTATTTTGTCTTTATATCGAACATAGAACCTCATAGGCTCATGTGATTCTGGTGTTACACCATTGAACTACGACGGTGTCAACTCTTAAGTACCGACTATAGTAGTAGTATGTACTAGCTACCTATCTATAAATATTTATTTCTTAAACTGCACAATTTTTTTTAATGCTTACTATTTTTAAATATTTCATACCTGAACATTTTTCATTAAAATGTTTAATTCAAGTTTCGAATGATCAACGAGATGGCAGATCTTGGTTTTTTAGACTTGTCACTTCCCCACGACCTTTTTCTTCGCCGAATCCTCCGAAAGAGATCTTTATATGCGAGCAAAAAAGTAACACGAATCCGATATCCGGATGACATACAAGGAGTAATTCGGAGCATGCACTGAAAAGTTGAAAAAGTTGATCGATTTGCATTGAAGGAAGAGCGCAGGCTGGTTATACAGTATTTTTTGATGAGTTAATTAATTCACGTGGAATTCCTTGAACCCTATCGCTTTGCGTTACGTGAGGCATCGTACCCTACCACTTCTTTATGCAGTCTATAAAAGAATTATTTACAACAGCGATGTCATCTGTGTGTTAGTGCTTGCAGCAGTGTTGTGTTGTGCCTACTTACCACAAAGGTAAACCAATAATTGATCTCGGTTTATATCAATGCTAACTGGTAGTTATTTGTGACGCACTGAAGGAAATTCGAATGGAGAAAATTGTGAAATTATTACAATAATTCAAATTTATTTTTACGTTTGATTAGAAAAATGTTGAATCATCTTGCGTAATTATGATTAGTGGAACCGGTCCCCTTAACGAAATAGGCGTATGTCGATAAGATAATAAACAACCGTTCGTAAGTTGTTTAAAATATAACGAACTGCTTATTGTAGTTTAAATTTATTTACAAAGATTTATAATAATTCAGTTGTTTTTTAGACTCGTTTTCAAAAGTTATGCTTTGAGCCAATACTTTATTCTTATTGTGGATTCTAGAAGCGATTCGTTATCCTTTAAATGTAAGAAACTCAAACACGAAAAATATTTCTTTGGTCTCTTAGACTATGGTCAGACAGTAGAAGCAGGTAGTAAGTACATAGATTTCACAGTAGCCAGCAATCTCCCGTCACAGACCGCGGTCGGGATGGCGAACGAAAACCAAATAGAAATGTCTCAATTTCCGTCGGAATGCTTCCTTGCATCGTCTCTTTTTACTGAAATTTCTCACCGAAAAATTTTCTATTTCCACCTGTATTGGCTCAAAATCGAACTCAGCATTGGTGGAGGAAAAATTTTAAAACGCCATTAGGGCGCGAAGAAATGTTTTCTCACCAGAACAGCGTGGAAATGATATTTCAAATGAAACGTTCATATTGGCTTAGTATATTGGGGGTCTGATATTTTTGTGGAATTTGTTGGTAGTGTAACTTTCAATTGCACGTTTGTGGTTCGTTATAATTGTATCTCTCGTACGTATGTTGCCATACACATGAATTTTTGATACACAGCTAGAATAGAAATATCTATTCACAAACGTTCAAAGTTACATGGCGTTACAAAACTAATAATAAAGTAATACACGAGGCCGCGTTTATAACAAACAAACACAAAGTTTAATGTATACAAAAGTTGTTGCAGCACCATAGAGGTTATGCTTGCTAACCTTCATAATTCTTCGCACATGATGTGGTCTTGTTTAATCTGTGACGTTTAGAAGAATAGCTTGCAACATGTCCCTGGTTTTTAAACGTGTTAATTAGGGTCAACCGCGAGCATTTAATTTAATGTATTTTGCATGCAAATGATTATCATTTAAGGCTCGATGACAATGACTATCACACGCAGTTTTTACAACCGTTTATTTATTGTACAATCGTTTCGGACTTTCATTGTTCTATCTACTTATGCTGACCCTACATAATTAAGTAATAGTCGTAACATTATTGGCGTTAGTGTTATAAATACGGTGAGGAAGGTATATCATAATTTCAGAGCGTCCATGGGAAAAACATAAACGTCCTAGAAAAAGATTAAGCGTGCCTCTGAGAACACACGGAATTGATTACTTTTCTATTATAAAAAATGACTTAAAATTAGATAATAGACACGTTTAAATAAAACATTTTAACGGTTTAAAACGCGATATATTAGTTAAACTTATTTGAAAATGGTTTTTAACTTCGGCCTCACGTTTCGGTTGCTTTGCAGCAGCAGTGACTAATATATCGTTTTAAACCGTTAAAGTCTTTTATTTAAATGGGTTGGTACTACTCGCGTAAACTATATACAGTATTTAATAGAGAAGTTATTAAGTATCTACTTAATGTTGGTAAATTTTACCCCACAGAAACCAGAAACATGCAACCCACCACAATCATCGTTCTGGCTTGCCTGGTGGCAGTAGTAGCAGCGAACACACAATACCAGTACCCCATCGAAGATTCCAACCTACAGGAAAGTCAAGTCTATGAATCAATCAATGACACACCAGTACACGAGTCCAGTTCAAGAACGAAGAGAGGATTACTTCTCTTGAAGAAGAAACTCCTACTGGGTAAGATTAACATGTTTTCAGATATTTCCGATACAAAAATTAAGATGGCTTAAATAACGGGGCAAAACAAATTTTATACTTAGGTTAATATTGTTGTCTGTTACATAATTTTTATCTGCCTTCTGTGATCCAGTAACTAGTGGTAATACCATCTTAACACTCGTTCAAAATTGTTGGATTTGAATGTACACTCGCTAATTTTAATGTAAGGCAAACACAACAGAAACAAGTCACTTAAGATAATATTTAGATTATAACGTGTTTAATCAAGATTTTTTAAGTATGTTGAGATTCTTATTAGATCGCCAACGAAAAATATTCCGATCTAAGGAATTTAGCTTAACATAAACTCAGTAGATTAACTTTGCTAATTTTGTGACGTAAATCGATAAAAATCCGAATTTTATTTATGAAAACAGTCATGACACATTTGTATAGGTGAAATATGTCCATATATAAAATACCTTCGTCCAAGGCAAGCGACGAAATGATTATTAATCGATACTTATAATGTGGATCGAGATTCGAGACAACCTTATGTGATTTAAATAAAACACTTTAACGGTTTAAAACGCGATATATTAGTTAAACATATTCAAAAATAATTTTTGAATAAGTTTAACAGATAAATATCGCGTTTTAAATCGTTAAAGTGTTTCATTTAAAAGTTCATTGAAATTTCGAAAACCTAGACGGAACCTAAACCTGATAACGCTTTGGTATTCCAAATATGAATTTTCCAATAAAATTTAACTCTGTTGATGTTAACAAATGTAACAAGTTAAGTTTAACTTGTTTCATTGTTGTTAAGCTTAACTTAAAGCTTTAAGTTTAAGTGTGTTATGTAATCATAATCCTAGTTATGTAGGACGTCATGGCTTTACATGTAATGGTTTTGTGTCTTCAATTATTATAGACTTGCAACGAATATTCGGATATTCGGTATCGGCCTATTCGGCTGCTATTATTTCGGTCGAATACGAATATCTACATATTATTCGGCAAAACGAATATTAAATAATATATTTTGTCAAGAGAAATAATTGTAAATGAAATTAAAATGTTGTAGTTATATTCTATTTTTATTTCTGTTATAATCATATAAGTAGTAATTGGTACATAATAATAACGAGTCGTTAGAACAACAAAGGGCCGATTACTTGTAAAGTGAAATCCAGCCAATACTTTTCCTAATTTCGACTATTCGGTCAGGGGTCTCCCGAAGTATGTAACTTCTTCAAGTCTAATGATTATTAATATATATGTACTCGTATGCACTAAAATTTCAATTCTTTTGCTGAATGTATTAATTACATTTACGGATGTTTGCATTTTCTTTCATGTCAAATTTTATATGGCCGAGGTACTTCACTTACAATCAGGGGAACCCCACGTTTGTCTATCCGCCTTTGTGATAATAATGATGAATATATTTAGTTTATTAAGTTTATTGAATACGCGTGAATACAAGTTGATAATGATATATATCATAACAGGAGCTCTTGGACTGAAAGCAGCGAAGGTGGGCGCTGTTGGAGCTGGTGTGGCCGGCGCCATCGCCCTGAAGAAACAGTCAGTACACTCGAAACATCATTACGTCCACGGGTACTAACTCACTAATAATTCACTCCATTATTCTCGTTTTATGCGAAGAATGTTAGTTGAAAGTTTCAACTAGATTCTCATAAACTGCTTATTAAAATTTACTCCTAACAAACTTATTGGATAGCCCATTCAATGCGCTGTGATAAATATTACATTTTTAATGAAAAAAGTGACTAAATACGTTGAGAATCGTAGATTTGAATGACACAGCACCTTTTTAATTTATTATATTTGACTCTATTTCCCGTTAATATAAATGTGATTTAACTAAAATCAAAGGTCGCTGACCCTTAAAATATACACGCGAAAGGATGGGTTTATTCAGTATTAATTATTTTTATATATTATTTAATTACATATATATATATATATATATCTTTATCATGCGAATTTGCTTTACCTTATTTTATATGCTTTTAATTAATGGGAATGTCCGCATTCCAGCCACGCTCCCTCGGTCGTTGAAGTTCATAGGTAAGTGCTAACATTAGCATTATTAATAATTATATGCACTAATTATATCGCTATGCATCATTCTCTGGATGTGGGTTTACGTACGTAAATTTTTACAGCTATATTTATAAAGTTACCAAGTAATTTGCTATCAGTGCACTATAAATAAGAATCAAGCAAATTAATAAATAAAAAAGAGATAATTCTTAAATTATGACTTATAGGCCTTAATATATTGCAAAGTAAGTCTTGGGTTCGATTTTCAAAAATACCTAATAAACAGTAATGGTTGGATAAGGCACCGAAGTTTTGTGGTTTCCTGTCATTAATTCGGACTGTGTCTTGCGGACAAAGCCTGCCTGTCCAACCATAGCTATACACAAATATATTATTATGAATTATACACAAAATTCATATTTACGCAATCCACCACCATATTTAAATCTACAAGCAATTATGATTCTCATTTCGCACATATTTTATGTATCTTAGAAATATTGATCTCTCGGCCATGACCTGAAAAGGCTCAGTCATGATTTTACTGCATTTTTATTTATTCTTGACACACAATTTAATCATTGTTCAAATGCTGCTCAAAACAGCTTCTAAATACCCATTATTTGCTATGACCCGAACATGAGTCAACTTAAATAAAACTATTTTGAATAGGTCCAAGCGCAAACTACATTTTGCTAATGAATTTCAAGTACGACCTGACGTTTTGCTTTACAACAGTTGTGGTCACGGAGTCACTGTCACTGAAATTCGTTAACTGAATATAGTTCAGGATTGAACCAGTTTAAAATAGTTTTATTTAAGGAACACTTTACAGTAAATTTACTTGCGTTAACCATAGATACAACTAACTGGATTATTGTTTTTGATTTGAAGTACTGTATAGATCTTGCTTGAAGTTAAAAACGTAAATGCACAAAAAAGATAAAATATCCTGGACCTTTAAATTATATGAATGAAGTTACACAATTTTTTTATATACTTCTACGCAGCAAGTTACATACAGACTCGCATATCCAAATACGTTTTTATTGTAACAGTATTAATACAGGGAAATCATATGATTCACGCACAGCCACGCAATCATATTGAGTAAATAACAAAAGAAAATCGTAGTATTAGCCCACTCTTAGCACAGCGCAAACGCAAATATTCATTGACTAATTTAGCACAGTACGCAGCTAAACCTTAGATTCGAGATTGGGAAAAAACGCGTCGTACATTGACTGGTCTTACGTAATCTGAGACCCATCTGTGGGCTATGAATAATAAATAGATTAAAATTATACCCATCTCAAAAGCTGATTTGGTAAAACCCGTATAAGGAATGCGGATCGCAAACAATTTTTATATCATTGTTGGTCAAACAATAATCAAGTGCTAATTTTCATCAAATTTTCCAGCTGGTCCGGTTAACCGTGTTTCCAGTTTTCTTATATAGTACTGAAGTGCTAAAGAAAATGAAGACATCGCGTGACCATCCTGAATCGTTGTTAAGAGCACAAACCAAGGGGTATTTTAGATATAAGACTTAGAATTAGTTGTAACTGAACAACCTGAAATGTAAATAATGCCATAAATTGAATGGAATGAACGAATATTATAAAATCATACGGTCTTTGTGTTAAAATGTTCACAGCTCAGTGTATAATATGTAATATTCTTTCATTATGGGAAACTGTTAGTGTTGATTATGATTTGTTATAATATTTATAACAAATGGAAACTCGAGTTAGCGTTAGAGTGCTGTTTGTTATTAAAAATAGTTTTTTTTTATTTGTTGCATTTTTATTTACCCATCCTATGTTCTACAAAACAAGACACACTTCAGAACAGTCCTATTAACTTATTGACTCCTATAATAATGCATAGGTAACATTTATCTCTAATTCAAAAAAAGAAAAAATATATGCAATTCAAACCTGCAACAGTGAATATGTCGGTTCATTTGAAAATTTTAATATTTAACATATGACATTACATTAAATAAAAATCGAAGATTTGAAAAAAAACGAAGTCTCCATTCGTTAGAGCAGGAACGCTGTATTGGTTCAAAGATGTCATAATTTTTCACAATCTAATATCGATTATTATTTTTGTCGGGTCATCTCCGTTGAACTCTTTGTATTCACTCTCTCAAAAATTTGTTCATTTTACAAATTTTATAAATAGAACAGGAGAAATACATAGTACTTGAAGTAGGTAGCAACACAAGCCTTAATCTAGGAAGCCGAGCTGTAGTTTGATTGATTTATTGTTCCGTCCAGTTCTTATTCGTCCTCTAATTCTGTCACACTGATTGGAATTAGTCGCCGACCGGGTAATGGCAATTTAAGTAAAAGCTATATTAAGGAAGATTAAGCATTGCTATTAAAGAAATCGTAGTTATTTTCGTTCAGGTGTTAGTCATTTATTAATGTAAAATTTACAGTTACTACCGTTTTAAAATATTTTTTAGCTGCAAATAATGTGTAACCAGACATTATAATAGGTGTTAAAAACTTGACTTTACGAACTGTGTCCAGATCGCACCTATTTGGACGTTCAAGAAAATCTACCATGATAAGAGATTTAACAAAAAGAAAAAGATTAGGTCTATCTTTATCTTGATGACATTCTTTTGAATTTTTTATCCTTGTTTTAAAAGAGTTATAAAACTGTATCTCCCTCACACACCTTTGTTTTTTTATTCTTGCGGTATGACCACGATTATTGTAAAAAAACACACTATTGTTTAAATTAAAATTAGTGCAAAACATCAGTCGGTCAGCTCGTATCTTCTTATGTAATTATCTATCTAACTAGTATAATTCATCTGTGGTTAGCCTATTTTGATGAATCTAACCTAAAAGCACACAACCATTGTTTTAAAATTAAAATTAGTACAAAAAAGCCGTAATCTAGCTCGTGTTCAACTATGTAACTACTATAAATAATCTGTGGTTGGCCTATTTCCACGAAACTAACCTAAAAGCTAACTAATTAGCACTTGCTGTTATAAAAGTTCGTCTGAGGCATAATAGGGACTGCATTTTTGTGGATGCGACACGTAAGCCTTGATCGTCGTTGATTTCGTAACTCAGGCCTAAGGCCTTGTCGCTGAGACAGGTCATTCACTTAAGACGTGAATACTGAACTTGATACGCAAGCCTTCGTACTTATCTAATAGGAGCCAAGGAAGTGTTAATTAATGAAAAGAAATTATGTAAACATCTAAGTTTCAAGGTCTACCTTGGACATCCGTGTGGATAATGTTTTCCAAATTGACACTAAGAATGGCTGAAATTCGTTTTTTTTAAGAGAGACAGGCATGAGGTTCATAAAAAGGAAATCCCAGCCGTATATTATCATCTAAACACAATGCCATGTCGATCTCTTTTGGCTTTGATTATTGGAAGCTTTTAAATAAAACACTTTAACGGTTTAAAACGCGATATATTAGTTAAACTTATTTGAAACTGATTTTTAACTTCGGCCCGACGTTTCGGATGCTTTGCAGCAGCCGTCGTCACGGGGAGACGTCGGGCCGAAGTTAAAAATCATTTTCAAATAAGTTAAACTAATATATCGCGTTTTAAACCGTTAAAGTGTTTTATTTAAATGTGTAGGTACTACTCGCGTAAACTATAGACAGTATTTATTGGGAGCTGTTGACTTAAACCGAAGCGCGACTAAACTTCATAGGTGGTCCGTGACCCGGAATTTTATTTTGCCTACCACCCATTAAATATCGAGCTTTTATAGACAAAGTCATATTTCAAAAATATTATAAATTGCTTACAAACGTGTTGGACCCGGTGGGAATCGAACTCGCGCCAATTAGATTATCAACAATACATTGTTACCATTATATCAACGAGTCCGTTATTACAAAATTTCAGGCACAAATGATATCATGAAAAATTATTGCCATAATCTTGTTCCCATATCTTTTGTTTGATTGCTGAAATTCAGTTCAAAAGTTGTATAAATTAGAATATATAATATACTAAGGATGAAATATAATTTAATATCTATTTGTCAATAAAACGTAAGTAAAAGCAACTAATATTATTAACTATACCTAAACTCTGTATTCTACTACTCGATTTTTCAGCGTGAACTAAGAAATACAAAAATGCGTAAAACCTACTCGTATTTGAGACATATAAGCAGATGCCGAAAATAGTTTTACTACCAAGAATTCCAGCTACGAGATACCTAAAAGCCTATCTACTAAAATCACTATAAACGAGCATAAGCCGAATGTTCGGTTTCGGATACAACCACATTCGCTCTCATGAATACCAAGGATTTATGAAGATCAATGGGCGCATCCAATGGCATAAAAACCAATTAAGCGAATATGGTCCCGCCAGCATCAACGTTGAAGTATGAACTACGCCTTCCCAATATTAAGCAAGTATAAAAATGCGGAAGCGCTGGAGCGAACGTAATTGTTTTCGCATTGGAATTAAAACTTTCATTAACTTTAACGTTGGAGTGCAAGTGTCGACGTCCGGGAATAATAAATTTCTGGCTATTGACGAGTTGGCGAAAGCTCTTTAGAATGGAATGAAGTTTAAGGATTTAGAACTAAGAATTATTAGTACATAATAAATACTAATGATACACAATTGAAAGTACTTATTATTATTTTATTTTTAGAATTATTACTTAATTTAATAAATTTTTATTATTTAATTAATTTTTTCTTTTCCCTGTACTAATTTCCTGTCGAAATTTAACCTGTAGACTAAATGTTGTATAACTTAAATTCAGTAAGAATATGTATTTTTTTTTATTTAGTTTCTTTGAAATACACAAAAGATGAAATTAACCGTTACATTGTTTTTCACACCCCACTAAGCTGTTAAGTTAATATAACAAAAGTAAGAAAGCAAGATAACCTTATACATTTTTGTATGTCCTTATTAATTGCGTAATTTAGGTAATAACAAGTTTTCAGTTATCAATGTCAATTTCAAGAAAGTACGTCGACACATTATCTGGCTTTGACCTCAGAAATATTGGTTAATTATTTTTATTTGACCTAGATTCGTGTATATCCGTTTTCAGATTTAATTACAATTTATGTATAGGCAACTTTGTGTTTTGTTGCATACAAATACTGATATTTTTTATATAATCCTACTAAGTATTGCTTGTCGGGTCGTCTTTAAATCAATTTAGTATACATTTTGCGTTTTCAATCTAACATAGTACTTCCCAATGTCTTGGCAATTCTACTTATAATTCTGTTTTAGAGCAACGTTTAAACATCTTTTAAATAAAACACTTTAACGGTTTAAAACGTGGTCACGGGGAGACCACGGCTGCTGCAAAGCATCCGAAACGTCGGGCCGAAGTTAAAAATCATTTTCAAATAAGTTTAACTAATATATCGCGTTTTAAACCGTTAAAGTGCTTTATTTAAATGTGTACTACTCGCGTAAACTATAGACAGTGTTTAAACATCTTGTTCATAAAACGCAAATCGAAATCATGTACATTTTGTAGTTTGCTCGAGTATAGAAAATCTAATAACCAAATGTAACCTACTGCCTTTTTAACTATGACAGATTAGAAATAAAGCGAATGCAGAAGAGAATTTACAATGCTAAAAGTGGTTTTAAAATTATAATTATAACGAAAAAAATATACTTAAGATTAGATAGGTAAAAGTACAAATGATTTATTTTTATATTTTTTATACAACTAATTAAAAAATAAACAGTAAAAAAGTTTTAAAATTAATTTAATAAATAAAAAACTAAAAGATTTTCTTCAAAAAATTAAAAGATTTTCTCTAAACAAACGGTGGTGTAGCAATGTATGGCTGTTAATCGACGGATGGTGGATTCGATTTCGATCAAGTTTAACATATTTCTAAAAATCAATGTTTATTCTTCTAAAACATATATGAAAAAAGAAAACGCAAACGTCTCTATTTCAGTGTCACCTTAACTAAAAAATAAATATTAGGACCCACCTCGTTTAGCGTTAATTAGCAGCTAAAATTCTTTACTTTGAATATTCAGTATGCCATTTTGAGCCCTATACACAGCACTAGATGTAGGATTATTTAGAATTGTGCCATGAAAACCCGTGTGTTTGCCTAACTCTAATTTGCAAGTTAATTCCTTCACTCTCGAGCGAAACAATAGATACTCGAACCAAGATAATGAGTGCGCTTTTGTACTTGCATACTGTTTCCAATACACCGTACACTATACGTACATCCCGTACATAAAAGCTGTGCAAAAAGTCAATGAGACGCTTGACGCATCTTATGGAAGACCGGCTCTACACTTCCTGGTCATTATCCCATATTGTTATGGCCGTGTGACAGTAATTGGTGTAGGTTTAATATGATAATAATATTATTTTCTTTGCTAACTAGCCTTAATCTGCTTATTACCTTTTGCCGGTGAATTAAGATATTTCTGGGTAATTGGCGGAGAACTATGCCCAGGAATGAGATGTCCATTTCGTTCAAAGATTAAGGTCATGTCGTCCAATAAGAAATATTTCTTTATTGACATATTATTATTTCGGGAACGAATATAACGTTGCTTTATCTATCGGTACGGAATTCCGTTTACATTAATAAGTAAAACATTATTTACGAGCTTAGATCATGTACTTATTTTAAGCTATCATTTTGTCCACCTCCAAAGCTCAATGAAACGCATTGCCTAATATTGTATAAGTGTGAGAGATTCGCATCCAGGATGCGAATCTCAAAAATCTGCTTGTCTCGTTTGAAGAACTTCTACCGTTTAAATAAAACACTTTAACGGTTTAAAACGCGATATATTAAACTTATTTGAAAATGTTTTTAACTTCGGCCCGACGTTTCGGATGCTTTGCAGCAGCCGTGGTTACGGGGAGATTTTAAAAATCATTTTCAAATAAGTTTAACTAACATATCGCGTTTTAAACCGCTAGTGTTTTGTTTAAATGTGTACTACTCGCGTAAACTATAGACAGTATGTGAACTTCTACCGCTTACGTTTAATTTGATCAGTGAAACAGATATAGAAATGTGCCTCATTTCGCAGTTTAAAACCTTCAATTCTCTCTAACCGACATAATCTGTTTGTTTAGTTTTTCCAGGATGTACGAAGAGGCTCTTTTTGTATTGTTCGTTTTTATAAGACGTACTAAGTTTCTTTGCCGATTTTAAAGTATAATATAGCACTCTGCTTTGCCCTTCATGTTTTGATACAAGCAGAACATATAAACACAAGGCATAAATAAAATACCATATCCGCATTTAAGTTATTTCCAAGTGTAATAAAATACGCCGCAAGCATTAATAAAAACAAATCGAGTTTTAACCCTTAATTTTTTGTCGTTTTAAGGCGCAGCTTGAGGTTATAGGTATTTCAAGGTGTGTCAGAGAAATGAGTGTGGATCATTGACATATTTTCGTGCCATGTGACCGATCGTCCTATAAAAGTCAGTGCCAGGATCGCGCCGAACAGTATATTTTTAAAAGTTGCAAATTGTGATCGTATTATCGCAAAAAGGTACGATTTTTTTTTTATTTAATTTTCGTACATATTGGCCCTTGTGCTATTATAGATTATAATAACGTGTTTATTTCGTATTAATCACATTTAAAAACTTCAAAAAAATAGTTTAATCCACTGTGAATGTTTATTCTAATTGTTTGTTCTAGCAAGTGTTTGTAATTGTCTGCGTACACAATTCGGGCGTAATATGTTTATTAAAATTGTTATTTTTTCAAATATTTACATTCCTCGCCATACTTCTACACGTGTATGCGTTTACATTTAAAATTATTATTTTTTCGTGTAGATGTATAATTAATTAGTGTAATTGGTTACTGTAATCGTTAAATAAAATAATAGAATAAAAAACATTTTGAATAACATGATTTTACTGTGTAATTTTAAATAAAACCATTAATTGAATTACTTTAACTACGGCCCTACATTTTGATTGCTTTGCAGCAGTCGTAGTCACGGGGAGACATATAATCGACTAATACATATCGCGTTTTAAGCCGTTAAAGTTTTAGACGATAGACAGTATTTTGTGTATTTTTTTCATATTTTCAATCGGATATTTGCAATATTTATTGAACTTAGTGTCTAAAAATAGCTTCTTTTCAGGCAAAATGAAACTGAGCGTGGTTGCTTTTGGTGTTTTGGTGGCGTGCGCCGTGTCTATGGCTGTAGAGCACGGTCCAGTGCTGGACGCTTTGCACCCACAGCAAGTAGTTTATGTCCAAGCTCAACCTGGACATCGGCAGAAGAGACATCTCTTGTTGGGTAAGTTATACCAAGAATCTAGATTCTAGAATAGTAATACTCAACAATAACTCAAGCAATTATAAGCTCTTTCATCAATATTGATGTAAATTTACTTCTTACTACTTGATTTTGGACTTTAATAACAAGAAAATAACGGGTTTTTTTATTTTCGTAGATTTACTACCTTAAACTTATAGTCAAATATGTAAATACTTTACACTGGGGTATATTAAAAGCGAGGTATAAAAAACAAAAGGTAATATCTTCTCTAATTAGAAAAGCTAGGCAGACTGTGCTCTGTTAATTAGGAGGTATTCTTGTTGGAGTTTTAAGGTGACGCGATAAAAAGACACAAACAGTATCCGGTTTGTTTTTAACACATCTAGTTAATTAGTTTTAAATTATCAGCTACAATTTCCTTATGAGTAGTCGTTGTAGATTCGATTTAATAAGATGTTATTTAATTATTATAAATGTGAGATAATTAGTAAATCTTTTTACAACAGTAGTAACAAAAGTTCTTAAATTTAATAAGACACTTTACCGTTTTAAAACGCGATATATTAGTTAAACGTATTTAAAAATGACGGTCACGGGAAAACTGACCACGACTGCTGCAAAGCATCCGAAACGTCGGGCCGATGTTAAACATCGTTTTCAAATAAGTTTAACTCGCGTTTTAAACCGTTAAAGTATTTTACTTCATATGACTACTCGCGTAAACTATAGACAGTATTTAAAAGTTCTTGATTGTAATTTGAGTTTCGAGTGTATAGTACACAAATTAATATATTTAAATGAAAATTCGTTTTTCAGTGTAGGTCATAATTACTATAATTATATAGTTATACGCAAGTTGTTGATCGGACTTCTGTGCCCTGCCCGACTGAAACGTGTTTCCGGAATTAGAATCTAGAACTAGTGCTCCCGCAATGCTAAGCTTATTTTATCATTGGGCATAGAGATGGTTATTTATGAACACAAATATTATGTTTAAAAACATTAATATTTTTCACATGTTATTGCACATTAAGGCACTATATAATTTAAAAATCGAAAATAAATTGAAAAAATGTTCGACTCGGGCAGGACTTGAACCGGCATCGTCAGCTTTCATATTATGTGTGCATATTATTAATAGACATTTTGCTTGGTATTTAGGAGCCGGTGCTGGTCTACTCGGAGCTGGTCTGGCTGCAGGAGCTGTCGGTCTCGGAGCTGGAGTAATCGGAGCTAAGGCTGGTCTCGTCGGTGGGGCTCTCGCCGCGACAGCTCTTCACGGAGGCAGGAGCTTCGGTGGCTACGGGTATGGTGGCTACGGATACGGCGGTTACGGAGGTGGATACGGCCATGGCTACGGATACGGAAACGGTTACGGCCACGGCTATGGTGGATACAGGTAATGCATATGTTTATTGAAAAGCCTTTAAAAATATTTTATTGTTTCAATAGCTTTGACTTGACAAGGACATACTTTACTGGATACTAAATGAATGCTATGAATATGATAATTTCGTCTGGGTCATTTGCTGCCGTCCACAGATGAAAAAGCAGTAAAATATAAACGCGTTTTGGTTTCTGTGGATTTCCGAATATCCAAAGCAAAAATAAGTCGACAGAGCCTCATGTTAATATGTTATATAGATGGGGTATTCCACCCTCCATTAAGTGAACTCGCTTTTCTGTCTTCTTTTGTCCTAAAAAAACCTCTGTGTCGATTAAGCTGATCTATAATATTTACAAGCAAACACTTAATTAATATTCTGTGCCCTGTCCGAATTTGTTTCTTCGGAAAGAGAACTGCTTTGCATTTAACTTTAAATAAATTAATTTAATGTTCTTAAACATTGAGTCAAAGTAGGTAAATTTTGCCTGTACAATGAATGCGAATTTCAGATTTTATTCAAAGTATGTTTTAAAAAACACAACATAAAATACAGATAAAAATAAACTTGATTTTTTTAATTTTTATTTACAATGCGATAATTTTATCTGCTTAATAAGAGATTTTGGACAGAGTTTGTACAGTGTGTTAAGATAATTCCGAATATTGTCAAGTCATACATAACTCTAATAGGTTTTCCTGTTTCGAAAACCAGTTAGGCCCTCGCCATTTTGAACTATCAAATGGAAATTTGGTATAAGCATTATGTGAATTTGTAATGTCCACTCAGTTTTTGACCAATAAATTAATAACCAATGTGTCAAGATGATATCGAAATAATGCATCAACCAAGAGACGTGTGCTGCAAATACATATTTAGATTTTACGATAGAGAAGGACATGGAGTCCACTTGATGGTAGATGAAACACCCCAGCCATATAACATCTAAAGAGATCTAGATCTAGATGTGTTGTCAGCCTATTTTGGCTTTGGATATTTAAAAACAGATGTGTACCAAAATCGACAGACTGAAACCGAACCGCGATTAAACTTCTCGAATTTTTCATCTGTGAATGGTGGTTTATTATTCCTACCATCCATTTCATATTGAGATTTCCAAAGCCCAAAATTGGTTAGTTGCTGTGGGTTAGAGGTTCGAAATTTTATCAATATAAGGCTTATCTTAAAGATAAAGCATTTATATTATATGTCTTACATATAACTCGATACATGTTTATTTTTCCATTGTTTCAGGTCATACTACCCCACCACCTACTACGTCTCTGACACTTGGTGTTGAATAAGACTAATACAAATAAATAAGTGAAAGTTAATTTTAAGCGATGTATGTACTATGCAGTGTGCAGTGTGAACTTCCGACTGAATTCTACAAATGTTATTTATAATATGTGAGAAAAATAAATCAAGCGTTTGTTACGAACTCAGAATTGTGTTTTTATTCATCGCGTTGTTACGTTTTCTACTGCTTCGCTGATTAGTATTCTTCAGACAGGTGCACTAGTACTGTTCTCAAACCCGACAGAAATAATAAACCTTTTAATACAAATATATGGTTAAAGTTTTGATATAACAAAGAGTTTAATTTCACTGCAACGCAAAGATTAATTTGAAGAATATACTACAGTTAAAAATACATTATTTGTACCTTGAAAGTAGAATGAGTAAAAAGTAATGTAAAAGTTTTGTTAGCCATATCAACTTGGAGATTATTTTAACGAAGGTTTTTTTATAGTGTATATTGATAAAAAGTTTATAACTGACAGTCCTTAAGTTATATTAAAATTAGTTGTATTTTTGGGTGATACTAAACGGTTAAAGAAAGGAATTTATTGTATAGGTACCGTTGTGTTAACTACAGGCAATAACTTATCTTTCTCAACCTATCTAAGACTAGCTGTGCCATCGACTTCGTCCGCGCAAATAATTATTTTGGGCATCAAAGTTTGTTATTGCAAACCTCGACCCCACGACGTCGGCCGCGTCCCGTCGTTCTTGTAAGTTAATCTTAAGAGATAGTTATAAAGTTTCGCGGATTTTTTTTTACTTTATTAAAGAGGATTTCTTTCATCGTAACCCTCAAAGTAAGGATATTTTTCGATTTTTCCACATTCCACTGATTCTTCTCTTCTTTAGGTCGCATCGTTATGTTTTATAGCCTTCAGCCTTCCTCTATAAATGTTCTAACAAACAAACAAACAAAACAAACGCTTAAGCTTTATATATTAGTAAAGATTATTAATGTGGTTGACCTTTAGGACTGCAAAAAAGTTTTTTTTTTTCATTGGAATCCTTGTGTGATTATTATATTTATTTTGTAACCATATAATAAAATACTAGTAGTATTTTTATTTTCGAGAAAGCCAATAAAACTGATTGTCCGCATGTATATTCGTATTGGAAATAGTAGTTATTTTTGAAAATTGAGCCAGCCGTGCATCAGGGCGTTTCGGATCGTTTATAACACTTAGGGTCTGTGTACCATGGTGATTTGACAAATACCTTTTTTTTTTTATATATACAATTGTTATTATTTTATATTTTAACGTTTATATTTGTCATAGCGGAAACAAGAGAAGGGACACATTAGAGGCCGGCATTCATCAAGACATATGTTACTTTATACTATTAAAAACCGTATGTCCTAACATTTCTCTTACTTCGATTTGAAGGGACTCAAATGTTTAAGCATTACAAAAAACCTTCCAAAACAAACAGACTAAAATAACAAATATAATAAAATTAAAAATACTTATTTACAGTATTAAAATTGCTTAGGAAATACTTCATTTTCGTCTCATCTACCTTATACCTTATTTGTGGAATAAATTACATGAATAAATAATATGACGGAATTTCTAAGTTGTAATTTATACCCGATTTACAACTTTTTTTATTATCGGGTCGTTCAACCGTCGTAGTTAAGACTGAGCTTGACGTCACGGGTAGATGACGTCAAGAGGACTTGTTGCCTATTCTTCGATTAAATAATGCCTACTACTAGACTAGTCAGTCTTGGAAACACCACATTTTGCAAAATGGCCGCGAAATAACTATACAATTTATAATACTGTTAGAAGAATACTGGGATGACGTCATTAAGGAGAGAATAAAAGTAGTGGTGAGAAGTCTATATAACACCGTGAGCGCCTCATTACGACGAATTTGGTTGGGCCGACAACGTAGGTGAGACTCTGCCCGATTAAACAGTCAATCTGACTTTCGTTCAAATAATACAGTGTTGCGTTATTAAATAATTGAAAAGTAATATGATTAAGGTTTTTGTAATGTAATTTGATTTAGAAATAGAACTATCTTAAATAAAACACTTTAACGGTTTAAAACGCGAAATATATAAGTTACACTTATTTTGAAAATTATTTAAACTACGGCACGATGTTTTGGATGCTTTGCAGCAGTCGTGGTCGCGGGGAGACTAAAGATGGAGGGTTTCTATAATGTCAAAGTTAAAACTATAACTTAACTTTAACATTAAATGCTGTCTGTAGTTTATGCGAGTAAAGCACATTTAAATAAAACCGCTACGCTAGCGCCATCTGTTTGTCGTAGTTGATATAAGGAAAACGACGGAACAGATGGTTGGCGAACTACAGACAATATTGAATGGAATCAGTTTTTAATTATCTCCTCCTCTCCTGGTCCTTAAGAATACGTTATTTATTTCTCCTTTCAAAACCTTTGTGAACACCGCATTACAGGGGTGGATAGTGCGGCTCTGGCGTCGAAACAGCGTTTAACAGAGATGGATGACATCGAGCAGGCATCGTCCCTTTAATCTCGCTTACAGAAGAGACATATGACTATGTTTCATTTGGCTCCTGCGCTATCTGTAATCCTAGATTGAAAGAAATTATTATATGCTGGCTCGCTCTTACTGCACTAACTTCAGTCCGAAGATCAAGATTAGGATACATTTTTGTTGTCTCGTATTTATCCTCGCCGAATATAGATCTTTGGCTTTAGTAGCTTTTAGGTCGCCATAGGGAGATGGGGCATACTTCTGGGTACGTTTAACTGATCAATATTTGTATCCAAAATATTGATCAATATAATATCCAAAAGCCATAATAGGTCGATAGCGGATGTTTTACGATATTGTATAGCTATGGTATTTCAACTTCCATCAAGTGGTCTGTCCTCTATAAAAAAAAATACAAACTAGTTGTTGATCAGATTATCTGTGCCCTGCTAGACTGAAATTATTATGTTTTCCTAGACTTCGAACCTAGGCCCTCTCGTGATATTTATTTAACCATAGTACATGGAGACGAATATTAATGTCAAAAATTTGAAAGTTTATATTATAAGTGTGCGCGACTAATACTCATTTAAACAAAACACTTCAACGGTTTGAAACAGTTTAGCTAATATATGTCGCGTTTTGAAAACGTCAGTGTTTTATTTAAGTAATAATATCAAATAAAAGTGCCAGTGTTAGTTATATTCACGTAAAATTAAAATACTTTTAACAGTGAAAAAGGACAAATATATGACTTAACTCAATTCTACCAACGACTACTTTACCGAGGCTTAACAACAGCATTTTCCATTTTCTTGCTTTAATCCGTATGTCCGCAAAAGTACGTGCAAAATACCGTAAGTCGATCGTCTAGTAATCTTCGAAACAGTACCTTCTGAGAATATCATGAATAGTAAAATCAGACCACTAAGTCCCCAAAAGTAATTGAAACATAAATAAATTAGGGCTACAAAGCTCAATCAATCCTAAACGAAACGAATACAAAAGATTCCGTATCGCCTTATTGTTTGGCCCAAGGAGGGCTTAACAGAGGTTTGTTTTTGACGTAAAACAATGTGAAATGAGGAGACACTGCGACGTGGGGTGGCTCAGTGAACCAGATCTGTTAACGCAAGCAACAATGGCAAGATTTATTACAGCTCAATAATGACTGAACGTTATCTGACAATATTGATCAAAGCGATTAACACAACTGTTTCCGAGCGATGTTTCAGTCGATGACTTTATTAATTTTCAAGTGAATATTTGAGTACTCTCTGTAGTTTACGAGAGTTGGACATATTTAAATAAATAACTTTAACGGTTTAAAACGCGATATATTAGACACCGTGGTCTCCCCGTGACCACGGCTGCTGCAAAGCATCCGAAACGTCGGGCCGAAGTTAAAAATCATTTTCAAATAAGTTTAACTAATATATCGCGTTTTAAACCGTTACAGTGTTTTATTTAAAAGTTAAGTTTCATTTTTATGTAACTTATGTATACTTACGATTAGTGTCTATTCTGATACATGTCAGAGTGAGTGGATATTTGCATGTTGTGTGTTAGTGTATGAATGAAATAAGTGTGATATATATAACAGGGAATAGACTAAATTTACTAAGTAGATAATGTTTGTTTACTTGCTTAAGAATAAAAACTATAATAAAACATTTTTAACGGTTTAAATCATGAAGTATATTAGTTATCTATTTTTTAAGGGAAGTTGTTATTATATTTCGCGTCTTAAGCTGTTAAATTTATGTTCAAATGTGAATATTTGAATTTTACACGCTCGAGATCCGTTCGCGTGTTCGAATACGTAAGTAATGACGTGCTTACAAGATATCGACTTTCAATAAACGAGTTACAATTACGTATTGATTTACGATAATGTACGGTTATTGAGCACTAGAATGCAGATCACGAAGTACAGGGTTCTTGACTTTGGTAAGATGAAACGTTAGATAAGTAAGTATATTGAATTATTCTGAGAAATTAAATCTGTCAGGAATTTGAAGGTAGGAAGTGTCTGCGCCCATATGTCTAAAGTTTAAAAAAAATATTTTCTCTAAGAATATACATATTCACTTAATGAGAAAGCAATAATACTTAAACTTCCTTGAAGATTTTAATAGACTAGGCGTTTTTTATACTTTCAGATAACTTATTGTACAGATCAGCACCCTAAAATCTTATATTTTTACCGTAATTAGTTCGAGGTTGGGGTTGGGAGTTGGAGAGTAAATCAAGCTATCCCGGTGATACGGTTTTAATCATCTTCTATGGAGATAGGACCTGTGTTTTTTGATAGAGGAGGACAGAGCAGCTTGGGATTCACTTGACGGTAAGAAAAATATCCCAGTCCAGGTGTTTATTATTGTTCTATACCTAAACAAAATGCACTGTCGGCCTATTTTGGCTTCGGATATTCGGACTGAAATCGATACGCGATTAAACTTCAGGGTTTGATCTGTGGACGGTGGTTCGTGACGCGGACGGAATTTAGATATTTCTACTAC